AATCTTCTTGAACTTATAGAGACTTGTTTTGTGCCCTAACATGTGGCCCGTTTTTGAGAATGTTCCATGTGCACTTGAGAAGAATGTGTATTTTGCTGCTTTGGGACGAAATGCTCTGTAAATGTCAATTAAATCCATCAGAGCTAGTGTGTCACAGAAAGTCTGTTTCCTTGTTAATTTTTTGTCTGGATGATTTATCCATTGATGACATTGGGGTGTTAAAGTCCCCCACTGTGATTGTATTGCTGTCAATCTCCCCTTTATAGTCCACCAAAATTTTTTTAATATATTTAGATGCTCCTTTATTGGGTGCATATATATTTATAAGGGTCATATCCTCCTGTTGGTTTGATCCCTTTAGTATTATGTAGTGTCCTTCTTTGTCTCTTGATATGGTCTTTATTTTGAAGTTTATTTAGTCAGAGATAAGTATTGCTACTCCAGCTTTTCATTGTTTCCATTTGCTTGGATATTTTTTTCCATCCCTTCACTTCAGGCTGTATGAGTCTTTTGCTTTGAGGTGGGTTTCTTGTAGACTGCATATAAATGGGTCATGTTTTCTTATCCATTCAGCTACCCTGTGTATTTTGATTGAACCATTTATTCCATTTACATTTAAGGTTATTATTGGTATAAACTTATTTAATACCATTTTTCCCCTTTATGCCTATGTTCCTTTCTCTCAATATTTCTTCTTAAAGCAGTCCCTTTAGCATTTCTTGCAGTGCTGGTTTCATGGTACTGAACTCCTTTAGCCTTCTTTTGTCTGGGAAGCTCTTTATTTCTCCATCTTTTTGAATGATAGCCTTGCTGGATAAAGCAATCTGGGTTGCAGGTTCTTGCTTTTTATAACTTTGAAAACTTCATGCCAATCTCTTCTGGCCCAAAGTCTTTCTGTTGAGAAATCTCCTGACAGCCTCATGGGGGTTCCTTGTAGGTCACTGATTGTTTCTCTTTTGTGGCTCTTAAGATTCTCTTTTTGTCCTTGACATTTTAATTATTGTGTGTCTTGGAGTGGGTCCCTTTGGGTTCCTCTTGTTTGGTACCCTCTGTGCTTCCTGAACTTGTGTGGCTTTCTGCCTCACCAGCGTAGGGAAGTTTTCTATCATTATTTCTTCCAACAGATTCTCTATCCCTTGCTTACTTTCCTCCCCCTCTGGTACCCCTATGATGTGGATAGTTTTGTTTCATGTTGTCCCAGAGTTCCCTTAAGCTATCCTCATGCTTTTTGCGTATTCTTTCTTTTTGCTGCTCTGAGTGGTTTTTTCTGTCATACCTTCTAATTCGCTTATTTGATCCTCTGCTTCACTGACCCTGATTTTAATTCCTTCTAGCCTATTCTTGATGTCAGATATAGTATTACTTATTTCTGCCTGGTTCTTATTCATAGTATCTATGTCTTTTTTTTATGCTGATGTAGTTTTCACTATGTTCTTTGTATTTCCCATTAAGTTCCTGAATGGTCCCATTAAATGCCTTGTGGTTTTCACTAATTTCCGTAAGCATCTTTATAATCATTACTCTGAGCTCTTTTTCTGATAACTTGGTCACCTCCATCTCATCAAGGTCTTTTTCTACCACCAATTTTTCCTTTTCTTTAGTTTGTGGGTTCTTTTTCTCCCCATTTTAGTGTCTCTGTGTATATGTATATTAGATATATTTGCTTTCTCCCAGTCTTGTGGGGTGGGCTTTTATAGTGAATGTCCAGTGGGACCCAGAGGTGTGGTTCTCCTTATACTTCTGAGCTGTATGCTCTAGTTGTTTTCCTTTAATGGGTTCTTTGTGCTCTCCTTTTGTGGTTGGGTCTAGATTGTTGTTCTCCCGTTCCTGGGAGGACTCTCCTCTCAAGCTGGCTAATTGCAAGGTCCAGCCACAACCACGTTGTGTGAGCTGTTGTACAGGTGCTGACAGGGCAAAACAAAACACCACCAAACTGACAGGAAACAAATTGGAACTTACAAAATACCCTGAAAATCACAATGAAAACAAACCAGGAGAAAGTAGAATTAGGAAAGCAAAGTGAGAACTCAAATTCTAAGGACAAAGAGAAAGAGAGAAAAGGATATTATTGCTAATAGTAAAAATAAGTAAATAAAATAAAAGGTAAAAAATAGAGAAGCTACTGGGAGATAAGAGGGGCAGAGAAAGGAAGAAGGGCGAGCAAAAATAAAAGGGTAGAGAGTAGGAATAGGAAAGTGGTTAAAGAAAAAAAAAGAAAAGAGGACAGAGAATTAAAGGGGAAAGAAAAAGAAAAAAAATTTATGCCAATGGAACAAGAAGAGAGAGAAAGGTAAAGCAAGGGAAGGAAAAGAGGCCAGTAAGAGATATGGAAGAAAAAATAGAGAAAAACAATGAGCTTAATGATTATAATAATAATATCCCTGCAGTAAAGCAGAGAATATTAAGAAAATCTTGAGAATAGAACAATAAAAACAAAACAAAACAAAAGAACAAGCAAAGCAAGACAAAACAAAACAAATTAAAAATTACAAAATTTTTTTTAATTAAAAAAAAAAAATCAACGAAGTGAGGCTCTTCTGAACAGCTTATGTTGTCTCAGGCGTCCTGTTTTATATGCTGATTTCTGATCTGCTGGGAGGTACTTTTGTATCAGCCAATGTAAGGAGCTGTCTAGGTTTGGTTTCCAGTGTCCTTATGTAGCTTATTGGTCTGAGGCTCTCTGTGGACCACCACCACCTTTCAGCTATTTTGCCTACCCCTTGTGGTTGCCTGGTCTTACTCCAGGGTCTTCCAAAGAGAGTCTTTAGGGTGCAGGCCAACTAGTATAGTTTGAGGTGTTGATTGGGCTCGTTACTTAGAGATTTCGCAGTCAGGCACTTATTGTGGGGACGTTAATGTCTGCTTCAAAGCCAACTTCTCAGTTTCTACCATGTCCTCCAATTCTAGTTCCCCATAAAATGGCCTACTGCAGGTCCAGATTGAGTTAGGTCTGTTTTCTTTTCTGTGTGGCAGTTTCAGCAGCCTAGGCTCAGTGGGAGTGATCAAAAGAGACTCCCTTGCACACATTTCCTGCCCAGCCCCCAGAAGGGGTTTTAAGCTTTTCCTCTGGCTTGCAAACAATAGTCCCTTAGAGTCTTATTCTTGTAATGGCCTCCTATGAGCTGTTCTTCCTTCCTGCATAGACCTGTGCCCAGTGGGGGGTATCTGGGGCTTCAGTGAGCTGAACCAGCCCCTTTCGTGTTGGGGGTGGTACTCCTACCCTGTGGGAGATGTAGGCATGCTCTGCCCCTCCTTTCCCAGATCTGGTTAGCTGATCTGACAGGGTGCTCAGTTCAAACTCTCCACAATACAGACACAAATCCCAGCTTTCACTGGCCTGTCTTCCCAGTGTAAGCCAGGAAGGTGGATGCCATGAGGTGCTGACCAGTAATCAAAAACATAAAGTGAAAAACAGGCAGAAAACCTGCTTTGCAAGGATCTGGCTCCCCTGTGCCTTGGATCCAAGCAGGAGGGGTCACAAAGTGCATTCAAGCAGGTCTCCTGCACAGCTGATCTCAGTAAAGCTGGGGCAGCTCTGTGCACAATCCTGGCTCCCCTCAGAGCAGGTCAAAAATCTCCAGTTGACCCCACTGACAGCTGGTGGCGGGAGGACTCTCTTCCCCTTCCCCTCACCACACAGTTCAGATGCTTTCTGGGGTCTGCACAATGCCATACAGGAAGGCAGAAGATCCCTTTAGGTTGCTCCTGGGTGCAGCCCTCTGGCCCCTTTCTATTCAAAGTTTTTCCTGCGGTCAGCACCTGTGATGAATCTCTCATGCCTGTGCTGCCACCATTAGGTGCTAATGGCACCTTGTTTCACTGGGAAGGCACAGCCCCCTCCTCTCAGGCACACTGTTCCCCTGGGTCCCTCTGCCTGCCTCGCATGGGCTCTCCTTCCCTTCTCCACCACTCTGGGTGTGGGATCCCAGCTTTTGGATGCCTGTCCACACTCCCAAGGGGAGGGAGCTTTGCAGCCTCTAACCCTTGGGCATCACAGCTGAGCACTGGCTTTAGGGCAACTCCCCCTTTCTACGCCCCACCCCCACCACCAGACTGGACGGTGTTTCTTCAGTGCTCCTTACTCAAAATATGTCCATCAGCTACATTTCTCTTGTTTTTCCAAGCTGGCTATGCAGTATTTTAACTGTAAATCCAGTCTGTGGCTAGAAGCAAGGGTGCTCTGCTTCTTGTTAGAGTGCTGCCATCTTGCTGACCTCAGCACTAGTCAGTAGGACCACTTTTAAATAGACATTTACATTTGTAAGTATTTTCTCTACTAAACACCATCAAAAATGTTTATATCAAACATTACCAAAAACCATCAAAATTTTATTTTTAGCTAAATAAGATTTACTTAGAGGACTTGTATCAATATAGTCTTAGTTGAAGTGAACTTTATATCTTGTAGCTTAATAAAATCTTAGGAAATTTTAAATACATTTTAAGTGAAAGTCGTTATTTACGGTCAGTTTCTCAGTTATAACAGGCAAATTTTATTGATCTTTTGCTCTTAATAAAGTATTATAATATGGATTCATGTTTAAGTTTCATAGTATATTGAATGTCTGTGGTATATTTTTAATGAAAGATATACATTATGCACCCATGCATAAGTGTATGCATATATAGTTGGAGGGGGCAGTAACTTTTTAAGAATCACTTTTTGCATTAAAAAAGTTCATGAGGAAAATCCAATTAGATGCCTAAAACTGTCCCTTGTGGATTTTTAAATCTACTTAATAAGTGACAATTTAAATTAAGGTGTAAATCATTACTATACAGCACTGACATGAACAAAAGATATCTGATATTATTATTTTTGAGCATCCATGACATTACCTTGATAGTCTAAAATGAATATAACATTGTTTATACCATCAATTTTCTTATAGCTACATGAAATAAAATAAATTTTACAACATATTTTTATGAATGTTTCTATGTGAAGTTCTTAGAGAAGACATAGCTTCTCTTATTTCAACTTTGTTCTAATTTTACAGGATTCAAGCCAAAACTCGAGAATTTAGAGAGCGACAAGCTCGGGAGCGTGACTATGCTGAAATTCAGGATTTTCATCGGACGTTTGGTTGTGATGATGAGTTGATGTATGGGGGAATTTCTTCCTATGAGGGTTCCATGGCTCTCAGTGCCAGACCCCAGAGCCCAAGAGAAGGACATGTGATGGATGCTTTGTACGCTCAAGTAAAGAAGTCGCGGAATTCCAAACCTTCACCAGTAGACAGGTAGGCTCCTGGAGCAATCAGGATATTGCTTCCAAATCAGTTTCGATACAGTTTTTGACAAGGGAATATGTTGTTCACCGGTCCCTAAACCAGGACTGCCTTTTATTAATGATCTTAAAAAAACCATTGTATCTAGAAATATTGAGTTTATACAAGTTGAAGCCTCATGGAAAGAGCAGCAGATGTTTTGATAACTTTTCTAATAATTCCAATATATTTCATCTTGTTCTTAAAATGGTTTTAGACCAGAAAACTAACCTTTAGTTTATACCTCAAATAAAAGGCAAATTTGAAATTATAGCTCTTCTACTTAAGCTATATTTCCCTTTAGTACTAGGAGAGCCTCGAGTTGTGGCAATTAAATAGATAGGGACTGACGTCATTTATTCTAATTGTGATTTATTCAGAAGGGCCATTTTTTTTTGGTCACATGATTTTATATAATGAAAGAGTTAGTAAATGAAGTGTATAGTATAGCCAGTTTTCAGCTTGCCTGTTAATAGCCACAGACATAGGTCTGATTATGTATCAGTGTAGCACAAAGTAGTGCAATGCTGACTGTATGCTAATGGCTATATATTTATTTCAAATTTTAACTAAAACAGTTTAAACACAGATCGTTTCAACCCCTTCATTTATATATTCAAATACCATTTATATATTCAAACATCATATACAGTTTAGTTCACAAAGACAATAATACTCATTTCTTTTTGTTGAAACATATGCATATGTATGTTATTGTCTTAAATAATGTGCTAATCCTGTCATATCTTATAATGGCTTTATATCATCATTGCTCTAACAGGAAGCTGAGCTTTGAACAGGTTTCACTTAAAACTAGTAGTTTTTAAGCTTTAGCATGCATCAGAATTACCTGAAGTACTTCTTTACATACAGATTGATTAACCCTCCCCCAGATTTTGATACAGTAGGTCTAGAGTGGAGCCTCAGAATTTGTATTCCTAATAAATATTCCTATAAGACCAGAGATGTACCGCAATTATATCATCTATAGCACCCATGTGTTATTTGGCTGCTATGTTTTGCAAGGAGTCTGTTTTAATTATTTACTGCCAGCTATTTTTAATAGAGGTTCGCAAAGGCAAAAGGTAACCTTGGGCGAACCCAGGAGAAAGCATTTTAAAGAATAGCGAAGGAGAAGCAGATCTTAAGGTAAAACTCTGGTCAGATATGTGTTCTGTTGTTTCCCCTTTTTTTTGCTTTTTGTTGGGTTTTAGGTTTCCTTTATTGTTTTGTGAAAATCTGATGTTTACTGTAATGAGTGATTAATATGTTAATATAGCAGGCTTATGGTTTATTTATTTTCCTTTTGTGTGATCACCTAGAAGGTTCATAGTACTTATCAACTAACACAGATGTGTCAGGATTCAAAGACCAAGTTATCATTAGTGACAGTGACATTTTCTTAAAAAAACTTCTTTCTGGGCTTTTGCTGCTTGTAGAAAGTCAAATAGCATCTGAAGGTCATGAATGTCCATTGAAAGTTGTTTTCTTGGGAGAAAGGTCAGCAGAAACCCTGGCATTGTCAGTTAGTAACTTTTGGAAAAACTAAAAGAAAATTAGTTAATGTGTTATTAATCATTGATAAGAACATTAATCATTTTTAGCACCTCCCACATCTAGTTTGAAAGTCTAAAAAGTAGTGGATATGCTTGTAGTAGTTGTTCTGAAAACTCAGAAGTCCCACCTGATGTGAGAGATGGTAGCCAGGAGGGGTCTTTCCAGATCCTGATGGCCAGAAACGGTTGCTTTAAACCCCAGTGTAAACCCTAGGACCTTACAAGAATCTAAATCTCTTCTGAAGGTTTGTGCAAAATTTCAAAACGGCTTGCCTGCTTAGAACCCTGTCTACTACTGGGCTCCAGCACCCACACTTGCATTTCGACTCTGCACCATGTTGACCTCACCCTGAAACTCAGCTTTCTCACTAATTTCCATCAAAAGCACACTCAGCAAAACATTCCAGAGGAGACTTTTGTCAGGGGAAAGCCATGGGAGTAAGTTGCAACAAGCATGGAAGACCTCACAACCGCATCATAGACACGGCAGTGTTCAGAAGCCGCCTCAGGCACAGCCTAGTATTTGGACTAGAGCATTTCTCTTCTTTGTAAAAAAAATTTATTTTATTTTATCCATCACTATTTACTCCCCTATACCGTCTTCCACCTCCACCCCCCACCCCCACAATAACCAACAGCATTTCTAAGACACAACTCAAGGGAGAGACCTTTTTTTAATAGTATCTCCTTGTTTTTTAAAATATAGATAGATATATATATATACATATATATATTTTTTTAATTTTATTTTTGTTTAAAATATTACAGATGTCCCTTTTTCTCCCCAATGACCCGTTCCACCCCGTTCCTTCCCCCTCCCCAGTCCCTCTCCCCACCATTGTCCGTGTCCTTGGGTTGTGCATATATGCATATAAATTCTTTGGTTACTCTCTCCCCCTCCACCCACCCACCCTCCTCCATCCCTCTGACATTCGTCAGTCTGATCTATGCTTCCATGTCATTGAATCTGTTCTGTTCCTCAGTTTATTAAGTTCTTTAGATTCCACTTATAAGCGAGATCATGTGATGTTTGTCTTTCTCTGCCTGGCTTATTTCACTTAGCATAATATTCTCCAGGTCCATCCATACTGTCACAAAGGGCACAAGATTCTTTATAGCTGTATAGTATTCCATGGTGTAAATGTCCCACAGCTTTTTCATCCACTCATCTACTGATGGGCACTTGGGCTGTTTCCAGATCTTAGCTATTGTAAACTGTGCTGCTATGAACATCGGGGTGCATATATTCTCCCTGATTAATGTTTCAGAATTCTTAGGATACATTCCTAGGAGTGGGATAACTGAGTCAAAAGGCAGCTCCATTTCTAATTTTTTGAGGAACCTCTATATTGTTTTCCATACTAGTTGCACCAGTCTGCATTCCCACCAGCAGTGTACCAGGGATTCCCCTTTCTCCACACCCTCGCCAGCACAAATCAGCCTTTGCTGATTTGATGGTGGCCATTCTGACAGATGTGAAGTGATACCTCACTGTGGTTTTAATGTGCATCTCTCTGATGATTAACAACGTTGAGCATTTTCTCATGTGTCTCTTGGCCATCCGTATGTCCTCTTTGGAGAAGTGTCTATTCAAGTCCTTTGTCCATTTCTTAGTTGGGTTGTTTGTCTTCCTCTTGCTGAGTACTATGAGTTCTTTGTACACTTTGGAAATTAGCCCCTTATCAGATACATCCTTGGCAAATGTTTTCCCAGACCGTGGGGTTCCTTTGTATTTTGAGGCTAATTTCTTTGCTGTGCAGAAGCTTTTTAGTTTGATGTAGTCCCATATGTTTATTTTTTCCTTTGTTTATCTTGCCCTAGGAGATGTATCATTGAAAGTTCCACTACGTGGGATGTCTGTGACTTTACTGCCTATGTTTTCTTCCAGGATTTTTATGGTTTCATGACTTATATTTAAGTCTTTTATCCATTTTGAGTTTATTTTTTTGTATGGTGAAAGTTGGTGGTTTAGTTTCATTTTTTGCATGTATCTGTCCAATTTTCCCAGCACCACTTATCGAAGAGACTGTCCTTAGTCCATTGGATACTCTTGCCTCCTTTGTCAAATATTAACTGACCATAATGGGGTGGGTATACTTCCGGGGTCTCTGTTCTGTTCCATTGATCTATATGCCTGTTGTTGTACCAATACCAGGCCGTTTTGATTACAGTGGCTTTGTAATACAGTTTGAAGTCTGATAATGTGATCCCTCCCACTCTGTTCTTTTTTCTCAAGATGGCTGCAGCTATTCGGGGTCTTTTTTGGTTCCATGTAAATTTTCGAAATGTTTGTTCTAGGTCTGTGAAATATGCTGTTGGTATTTTCATTGAAATTGCATTGAATTTATAAATTGCTTTGGGTGGTATGGACATTTCAATGATATTAATTCTTCAAATCCATGAGCATGGTATATTCTTCCACTTAATTTAAATCTTCCTCTATTTCTTTTTTCATTGTCACATCGTTTTCCAAGTACAGGTCTTTTACATCCTTGGTTAAGTTTATTCCTAGGTATCTTGCTTTTTTAGTTGCAATGGTAAATGGTATTGCTTTTTCAGTTTTTCTCTGAAAGTTCATTGTTGGTGTATAAGAATGCCACTGATTTCCGGATGTTGGTTTTCTATCCAGCGACCTTGCCAAATTTGTTTATCAAATCTAGTGGTACTTTGATGGAGTCTTTAGGGTTTTCTATGTACAATATCATGTCATCTGCAAATAATGACAGTTTTACTTCCTCCTTTCCAATTTGGATACCTTTTCTGTTTTCTTCCTGTCTGATGGCTATAGCGAGGACTTCTGCTACTATGTTGAATAAGAGTAGTGAAAGTAAACATCCCTGTCTTGTTCCTGTTTTTAATGGAAATGGTTTTAGTTTTTGCCCATTGAGTATAATGTTGGCTGTAGATCTGTTATATATGGCCTTTATTTTGTTGAGGTATGATTCCTCTATTCCCACTTTGCTGAGAGTTTTTATCAGAAATGGATGCTGGATTTTGTTGAATGCTTTTTCTGCGTCTATCAATATGATCATATGATTTTTGGCCTTCATTTTGTTTATGTGATGTATCACATTTATTGATTTGCGGATGTTGTACCAGCCTTGCATCCCCGGAATAAATTCCACTTGATCATGATGTATGATCTTTTTAATGTATTGCTGGATCCAGTTTGCTAGTATTTTAGTGCGGATTTTAGCATCTATGTTTCTCAGGGATATTGTCCTGTAATTTTCTTTCTTTGTACTGTCTTTATCTGCTTTTGGAATTAGGATGATGCTGGCCTCATAAAAAGAGTTGGGGAGTTTTCCCTCCTTTGAATTTTCTGGAATAGTTTGAATCGAATAGGTGTTAATTCTTCTTTGAATGTTTGGTAGAACTCGCCTGTAAATCCATCTGGTCCAGGACTTTTGTTTGCTA